CAATAATAAAATATAGACATAAATTAAACTAAAAAAAATAAATTATTTAAAATTTAGTTCAAACCAAAAAACTATTCAATTTAACAGTTTTTAACCAAACCAAATCTAAACTGAAACTTAAATAAAAAATAACCAAATAATTTTTTTGGTTTAACCATAACCAAACCATATCATTTTTTTTTTCATATGATTAGGTGTTTTCGATTAAGGTTTTTTCCCACCACTAATAAAAGCTGGTTACTAACTAATCAGGCCTGTATATTTCATTAAAATAATATACTCAGATGTTTTTTTTCCTACTAATCATAGCTCGAGGTATCTAAAAGACATTTATGAAGTTTCTTTTTGGCTATATGTATTCAAAGAAAAGTTGATACAATAATTAAAAATCAATGTCAATTGCGATGGATTTTTTTTATTATTTTACAGTTGAAGTTAGTTTAACAATACAAAACTTAAACCAAAACATATGGAATATATATTTTCTGCATTACATAAAAAATATCCTATTTAATAAGGAGACGTGTATATCATGTGACAAAAAATGAGATCAAGAAACGTCTAAGTCTAAACACATGATATAAAGTGGAGAAAATTGAATGTGATCATTAGAGGTGAGACTGGGATACATTGTGGAATACGCTACGAAATTTAGAAGCAAGGATCAAAGCGTTGAGAAATTCTAGGAATAGAGTAGATATGAAAAATGAAGAATAGATAAAAGAAAACCATGGTACAAAGTTAAACATAACAAGAGCTATGCTAAAAAAATTATAATACGATAAAAGGATAAATCATGTGTATCGAGTATAATGATCTATTAGAATAAGGTAGTATTTGTAATTGTTTGTGTGATAGGATAGGAAAACTCCAAACATCAGAGAATATATACTGCAGGAGTTCTGTAGAAACGATTGTAGAAGTAGAAAATGGTAATTTATGGCATTATTTTGTAAGTAATTGGGGTATGATAAAATATTTTGGGATGAATGTGAAACAGGAATTGAGAAATTTTTGACAATGGCTTGAAGAATCTGAGAAGATGGATGATCTAATCGAGAATGCTATGAAGCTAGAGACATTTTTGAAGTTGTTGCCATAAGCATAGCTGTTGTCCTAGAGGATGTGATAGGCCATTCATATAGCTCATTCTTTATGTACCTTCGGAGCAATGGGACATCCGTACTCAGATTCTTCACCTGAAAAAAGGTAGGAAAGAATTCTACAGAAACATGATTAGTGTTGCACAGTCCATATACTGAGACCAGATTCTTGGCAATATCAGGTACACAAAGCACATTATTTAATGGTAAATTTCGTATTGGAGAGGGAATTGATATTAAACCCTTATGTGTGATTGGCAGGTTGGAACCATCTGCAATTAGCACATCATCTCCTCCTTGATATGGCTGATGGAGAGAGAGGTTATTGAGGTCTGAAGTGATATAGTGAGTTGCTCCGCTGTTGACAATCCAATTATTTGCCGAGTAAAGAGATGCTTCAACTAGATTTGCACGTGGTTGCCAAGGTGTGAATGGTGTAGTGTTGGTCTGAGAGGCCGTTGCTTGAAAGGCTTGAAGCTGAGGGCAGCGTCTAGCACTGTGTCCCTGAGTGCTACATACCTGACATTTCTCCAAATAAGGTTTTGACGAACGTTGATGATTAGAGGTATGACCGTTGTACTGTTGAGATAACCAATTTGATAGTTGAGGTGAGTTCCAAGTGTTGTTGTTGTTCCTACGGCGTTGATGATTTCGATTGTTGTTGTAGCTACTCCTTTGTTGCACAGTATTAGCAGTGACGGGTGTGTGGGGAATGACATTGTCAGCTGCATTAATCAATTTTGCCTCTTGATTAAGCAGCTTTTCGTGCAGTTCAACAATACTTGGTGGAGTATCTCTTCCTTCACTCTGCTCCACGATAGATTTATATTCTTCAGGAAGACCATCGAGGATAAGCTCAATCTGGTCTTCGTGCTCCATAGCTTTGCCGAGGATGGCAAGCTGATCAACGCGAGTGGTAATACCCTGGAGGTATACGTCATCGTCTTGGATTCTTTCTTCCAGTTTTTAAGTTGAGTCTTGAGTTCTTTAATATGACCCCTGCTAGGTTTGGCATAGGTTGGTGCGAGCGTCTTCCATACTTCGGATGTAGATGTGGCACGAGACACCAGTGGTTGAATTGATGGAGAGATCGCTCCAATTAAAGAGCTGAAGAGAAGACGGTTTTGATGCTTCCAGAGTGTGTAAGCCGGGTTCACCGAGATCTGATCTTCAAGTGTTAATGTGGGTGTATGAACAACAGTGGATCCATCACGATGTCTGAATAGATCGTATCCATCAAGCAGTGCATGAATTTGGAGGCTCCACATCAAGTAATTTGTGGATGTGAGCTTTGTTACACTTGACATGTTAACGGTAAGAAGTGTGGTGGGATAGTGAATGATTGTATCACTGACAATTGTGGGAGAGGGAGAGGTATTGTCAGAAGACATGATTCAAAGGAATGTTGTAGCAAAAGAAATTTGTTGTGTTTTATGAATCGATGGTGGCTCTTATACCATATAAGATAGAGAATGTTATGTTGTATTCCATGAACTGATTACAAGTATATATACAGAGTCGTACTAGGGTATTCTATCAGTCTTAAATACAGAATATCTACATGATACAGAATAATTCTAAACTGCAATTAGAGTCGTAATATCAACAGTTAGTGATCTGGTGATATCTTGTTAATAATACAAAGGTAAACATAATATGAGTTAGGCTTAAAGACTTGAATTTGAACTTGATTTCGATAAGAATTATTGTCAAGAAATTAAATAGATATGTAAATTACAGAAAATATAAGAAAACACATTTTTTGTTACAGCAAATACTCTATATATTAAATTTAAAATCTAAAAATATTGATTCAGGATTCAGCCACTCTGAAAGCAATGAGTCTACGTAGGAAATATCAAACTACGGGCTTGAGTGTTCTTAGCAAGAGAATATGAGGTAAAAATTATTGAAAGATTATGAAAATTGGGCGCATAAACTCTAGTTCTTCAAGTTTCATTGCTAATGCTGGCCATTCTTCCTCCTCTTCAATCAAGTTTACCAACTGTAGACAACCTGTCTCAATCACCAACCCAGAAATTTGCAGAGGAATCAAAGCTCTCATAGCCCACAGGAGTGCTTCAAAGTCAGCAGGTATCGGTGAGAGGGACTGTTATGTCGTCGTTATCCCATATATGTGACTACCATCTGCCAAATCAAGTACGAGACCCCCGCCTGTTGTGTACCATCCTTAACCCAAGAGGCACCTACCTGGCAACGCGGAAACAGCGGTTTATTATCCATCGGCCTTGTCATAATCCTTGTTACTTGCGAGCTTGGCACCTGACTGGTATTTGGGATTCCCTAATCTCAGAGACCTTCTGTGCAATTGTCTATGATTCTGCTTTTTATATAGCAATTTCTAAAAGCATATGTTGGCAAAATATCTTCGTTGTTAAAAACCTCTCATTTCTGGCCTTCCATACATACCATAGAATCCAAAGGAAAGCCTTTAAAACCTTTGCAGTTTCTCTTTGTGTTGGGACTCGGAAGAAGAGATGTGCAAAGTTTTGGGATATTACCGTACATGGAAAAATACCCGGAGGAGAGGGGATTGCACTTGTAGCCTACATTTGTAGTGCTGGAAGACATTCAAAGAGTACATGATTGATTGACTTTATCTGTACTCCACAACGTTGATATCGACTATCTACCTTACAATAACAATACAATAATTGGCTATTGGTAACTATACTACCGGAAAGAGACTGCTGGAAAAAGTGTTTATAAAAAACATTAGGCAGCATTGTATATGGGTAATAAGAGAGAGATTTATTATAGTGTTATCTGTTTTTTTTTATATGAAGCAAACGTTCTTTTGTTTATATTTTTAGTTTTATTTTATCTTCAGACAAGCTATTCTACATATAAGGAGGCTAATCTTTCTCATACACTTTTAGAGATCAAAAATAAGACAGAGATAGGGGAGAGAGACTATAACAAGAATTCGAACGAGGTCAGACATAGAAAAACCAACAAGAAGGAGAGATACTTTTTGCGAGAGAGAGAGTTTGCGATGAAGAAAAGGAGAGAATTGCTAAGAACATGAGCATAATATTTGAGCTATAGTTCGTTACCATCAAAGTGGATTTGGTCCAATCGCATACATATGTATGCAAATATTACATCACAAACGGATGGCTTAAGCTCTCATGTGAAACACCTTTATGCTTTAATATAGATTACAATTAGAAATATCAAACATTTGGTAAAATCACAGTATAAGTAACAACAAGAAATTTTTAAAAAAAACTAATTATTGTTTGGTTCATATGAAATAAGGATTCTTTGGTTTTGGATTGCTCCATTCTCTTTGTTCTTTTGGTGCAAAATTTTATTTCATTAATCTCAAACTGTCAATTTACACCAAAAAAAAAGAGAATTATATATTATCTTTAGTAAACGCAACAAAGCAATAAAGTATACATGAGTTTTTATTGAATAATTTAAAAAAAATGAAAACAAGATATAAACAATATATCTTTCTCATTTTTTGCAAAGATATTAATTTTGATTTCAAATAAATTCAAACTATAAAATAGAACTTTTCATCTCTAAATACTATTAATTTTGAGTAATTGGTTTTACTAATTTTTAAAATATAAATTTAACCCCGCAAAAGGTGCAAAACACCTAACGAAAATTAAAATTGATTAGTTCATGGGATTCCCGTTTCTATCTACTTCCGTTATGTCCTGAATTTAAAATATAACTTAAATGAGACAATTACTTTTATATCCGAATTTCCATTTCCAATCCATTCCTAATCTTTTCTCGACTTCATGTTTGCTCACCACCTCTAAAAGAAACTATTGAAAAGAAAATGATTGAAAAAATATTCATGAAATATGATACCGTTTTGGGTTAAATCAACACAACAATCACGGTAGTTTGTGACGAAACTTTTTCTTGTTCACGTATCTTATGTTCACTTTCTAGGAGCTTTAACACAATCCCAAGTCCGTAAAAGTAAGAAAAGGATATATGGCTATGCATTAATATTAAGACTTCACCTTTTATCAAATACACATACAAGTTGAGACCCATTTTAAAGTCTACACACACTATATAAAGTATACAGTGTCCAAGAAAAAAATGCGTCTTGCCTAGATAAACTTCTATTGCTAGCTAAACCGGTGCCACATGAGATTTACACCGTAATGGTGTGAACAAGGAGTTGAGCTCAGTGTACCTCAAAAAATCAAACCCATGGCTATCCATAAGCTTCTTCTGTTTGGTCTTGAACCGTTGTTGATAAAATCCTTCGAAAGATGGTTCTGTAGAAGTTTGAAGGAAAAAGAAGTAACCAAGAAGGAAATGAAGGGATGTGATGAAGAAGCAAATTGGTTCCATTACGTCCCAGCTAAGTTCCCAAAAGGTAAGACGCATAAGGCCAATAGTTTGCGCTGCTAGGAACCCCAGACCGCAGTATAATTCGGCCTTGACTATGCGTCGTGCCTTAGTGTCAATACCCTTCTTTGTAACCTCAAGCTGAACTAACTCATCTTTTCTTGGATCATTTGGAAGTGCTGATGTTTGGTTGATCATTGCCTCCATAGACTTCACTATCTATAATTAAATAGCAAAATTGTATGAGAAGCTAATACATCAAAATATTTATAGATGTTTTTCAAATATTGTATTAAGGGCAAACTGAATATGATCAAAGGAGATTTGAAAATATTTAGGCACTAGCTCATATATGTAGTTGATATTTTTTTAAAGAAAAATTTGTTTAAAAGTCAAGATCGTGTTCGATTGTTTACTTATAAACGACCATGCTTCTGTGATTAATATATAATTGTAATTAGGTGGTTGTCCGCACGCATGTATAGATATAATTTTTTTATAATATAATTAATTATAATATTGAAGTATTGATTATTATTTTTATCATTATGTTAATATTACGTTTGTATATATATATGCAATTTTAATATTTATCAACAATTACACAAATGTTTCATATCGTTTTTTGTCTTTTGAAACTGAATTATTTTTAAACTATTTATTTTTTCTAGCATTTTCAGTGACATATAATTGCAAACGTAAAAGTTATATTAAATAATAATTAAATACTTATAATATTTTTCAATATTATATATACTATGTTTTTTCCCTTACATAATATAATTTTGCCAATATATATATTTTAAGTATATATTTTATGCATGTACGTACGAGTTCAAAATAAGAGAATTATAATATTTAGGTGTTGATTGGTTTTAATGATACATTCCGTAAATATTATGTTTTTACACGATTCAGCTTTTGGCGTTTAACAACAATCACGAAAACCATTTTTATCGTTTTCTATTGAATCAAAATTTTTTATTTTTCAGCATTTTATGATATATAGTTTCAATTATAAGTTATATTGAATATTTACAAAAATTACAAAAACTTTTTTAAAAAATCAAAAATATAATATTTGACTTTACCATGAATATAAATATAGTACATTGGATAATCTATTATTAATCATTATAAACTTTGACCTGTACACACGTTTATTATTAAGTTGGCATCTTAAGATTTTAACAAAGCACGAGAGTTTTACGGAAAAACAAAACTGTAGAAATTTTTTTTTATTATTTTTACTTCTTATTAATATTTGTTTTAATTTATTATAATTAATTTTTTCATCGAGCTATTTTTGTTTTATTTCTGATCTCAAATTTTTGATCATAAAAATATAATATATATATTTGTATATAAAAATATAATATATATAATATATATATTTGTTGTATAATTTTTTGATCATATTTTATAAAATCTATTAAAGATATATGTAAAGAAAGTGAAATCATAATATTTATCACTTTTGTTGATTTAAATTTATTAGTTTTGGTATTATAATCTACAGTATTTATGTTTTAATTTTATAATTTATTTAATTTAATTCAATCAATCAAAATATTTTGTTTATTTTAGTAAATTTGACATATCTTGATCATCATTTAAATGCACTAACTTTTTTTTTCCTTTTCACACATCAGATTTTTTTACTTAAATGACTTATTAAATAATAGTTAAAATTATTATACAATGTAGTAGGTGATGATTATCAGGGCTCTTTTCTAGAACATTAATTTTTCGGACCCTAATTTTTAAAATAAACCAGAAAGCATGGTACTTGCGAAAATGACAAGCAAAATGAAGGTCCACTTTGTCATTAGTACGAATAAGTGTCGAATTAGGAGGCTACATAATGCATATAATATATTTTATTCAATATTTTCATTGATTTAATAATCTATATAATCTTTTTTTTTCTTATAAACATGTAGAACATTAAAAGACAATGTAATAATAAAACGCTAAGAATGTATATTTGGAAAGTAAAGTATTGAGTCTTAAATTTGAGAAAATGAGATTAAACTGTGAAAAAAATCTCGGATCTGATATCCGTGCAGTCATTAACTTACACCGAAATAATTTTCGCAAATCAAAAGGATGATCTAAACTTTTTCAGTAAACCATACTATTGTTTCAAAATTTTGACAAAAAATGTTATCAAGAAATACAACTTTTAAATTACTTAAAACAAATATAGTTTTTATATGCTAAACAATAGGGTCTTTTGCTTTGGACAAGCTCTATTATCGAATCTTTTTCTTCTTTTGTTTTGTTTCTAAGTATCATGATATCATCAAAAGCAAATCTTAGATCCTAAAAGAACATAGACCACAAGTACTTAGACAAAATGAACCAAAGTGTTTGAAGGCTATATTAGTTAGATACTTAGATGATTCACCTGATGAGGATGAAGAAAAACGATGTCTCCTAAAACGACGACGGATCCAGAATGATCCAAAGACTTAGCCATTTGAGAACCTTGCTCGTCGTTATTCCCACAACTCTCACAACAGATCTGAACAAACTCCCAATACGAAATAGAGCTTTTGGGAATCTCTCTGAGTCTTGCTTTAACCTTCTCTGTTTGATATATTCTCAACAACTTCTTGGTCTCACTCACCGTCAAACCCTTCACAGCCGTTGCTTCCTCATGTCCGGGAGAAGCAACGGACTCTATTCGGATCCCAATGATCCGGTCCATAAGATTCGGAGAGGTCATGTACTGACGTAAGATCTTTGGTGCGAAAGGTGACGGTAATCTTTTGACAATCATGTTTTGTGTTACATCAAATCTGTAGCCATCAATGAGACGTTTTGTGATAGCTCTGCGAAGTGCCATTGAGAAGAGAGAGAAAGAGAGAGAATCTTTGAGTGAGAGAATATTTGAGTTGATTCTTTGTGAATTGAGTTGGAAATATTTGGTAAGCAATTTATAGTGCCATTCTGAGGTTAAAACTTAAAAGGAAGTCGAGTTAATATTTTTTCCTATTTTGTTTGATCATTACTCTAAAATGAGAATCTCGAAAACAGAGAATATCACAGAATTTTAAAGGGGGGGGAGGGGGGGGGGGTTATTGTGAAATGGAATTATAAAATTTTGATTGATTTTAAGAGTTGAGAGATTTGTTAAATTTGTAAATTTGTAAATTTTTAAGAGTTAAGAGATTTGTTAAATTTCTCGCACAAGGTTCAGATTTTAAAATAAAAATTTAATTTTTCAAATATATTAATTTTGATTTCAAATAATTATAAAATGTTATTTTTTCATCTATAAATAAACTAATGTTATTATTTTTTTTAAAAAAAAATTAATCTGCACCTTGTGCGAGAAAACACCTTATATATAATATTTTGAAAGACTTTCAAAATCTTATTCTATGAATTAAATTGCTTAAAATCTATATTGCAATAACACAAGATGTTGATAGAATCATAAAATCTTTAAAAATCAAACTTTTTGAATAACAAAGGATTTTGGATGGAATTTTAAAATCTTTAACCTAATAACAATTGATTCTAGTAAGATTTTAAGAATCAAACCAATAATGATGAAATCTCAAAATTCTCAAAATCTACATAAATCCCTCTCCCAATAACCCCTTTAGTTATTTTGGTAAACTGTCACGGAGTATAAGACCATTGCAACTGGAGATTTCTCTTCTTATTTTTAAACATTAAAAATATTAAAAAATAATAATAAATGTGGAGAGAGAACTAAATTTAACATTTAAAATAAAAATTTGAAAAACGGTTTCTAACCATTTAAGAACCTTGTTTCTATATGTGGTATTATATGATTGGTTTCTTTCTTTTTAGATTTATAATTTAATTATATTATTAAATTAAATTAATATAAAATTTATAAAATATTTTATATAAAATATCTTTCATTGGAGATGTTCTAAAAGCATCAGTATTGCATAATCTCATAGGATTCTTAAATATATTTTATCATTAAATATTTTATTAATTTAAATAATATATTTAGAATAAATTTTGTGGGCTCTTAGTAAAGAACCGATTTTCAAAAATGGGTTTGCTATATCATTTTTTATTTATTTTTTCTTTTATTTTTCACTTAAAAACCCCACATGGGCTCTGTATTAATCATTTTCTAAGTACGAGTGTATTCTAAGTACAAGTGTATTGAACAACACGTGTTGATTTCACTGCAATGATTCTTCTTTAATTAAAAAATTCTCCTCTATAATAATTGACTTTGAATTTTTTTATTATTATTAATTTCATGAATTAGAGAATAATTAGACTATTAACAATAATTTAAGATTCAACATCCTTGTTTTTATATTTTAATACTAGGTATATCATTCGCGCTACGCGCGAATCTATATTAATATTTTGATTTATTTTTTTAGCTATTACCTTTAAAATTATTAAACATTATATATATTTAAAAAAAAATTTATTTATTAAAGAGAATTTAATATATAATATGTAATTTATACTATTTTTATTTATAAATTTTAAAAAATTATTAGGTAAAATAATAACAATGACACCTATTGAATTATCCAACGTTGACGTACATATACATTTGATTTAGAGATATATAATCTTGCTAAGATTTTGGTATTATTTTCTGTTTTCCATAGAATTTCTATAGTTCTTTTTTTTTTTGAAGGTTTATGTGTTCAAATATTTAGTTTTTTATTTAAAGTCTTATTGATGTTGTGTACCACTGTATATATAATTCATAATTCATGTTGATTCACATTTAATTTTGTTATGAAGCTGTAATGATTATGCAAAACTATTTTTTTCTTCTCCATCATGTCTTCCAAGAGTTTTATGTTATATTTTTTTCAGTTTTCAATGTTTTAATTATTAAATCGAGTTGTTGTAGATTTTTTAAAATTGATAGTTCATAATGGTTACTTTGTTTTATACATGTATTATTAATTGTTAATTTTTTTATTTAACTTTAAAAATTTTAAACCATATTAACATTTTTTGATTTTATAAATATGTTGATTTGGATCAATCAGATTGAATTTACTTTTTTTGTTTGCATAATTTGTTAAATTAACATTTAATGTTTTAATTATACTTAATAATTTTTTGTTTGATTTAAAAGCTGATGTGGACCAATTAAATCAAGTTTTCCGTCCTAATCATACTTAACATTTTTTTATTTAATGAATATGCTGATGTGGATCAATCAGATCGAGTTTTTTAATCTCATGTGGACGCCCTCAATGCACTATGCCATCAATCAATTGAAAGGGCAAACAAATACTAAGTTCCAAACTTTCTACTTTTTCGAAAATTATACAAATTGGAAACTATATCATTATCAAATCTCTGAAAGCGAATCAGAAAAGTGCATAGAAGTCTGTTAAAGAGTCAAGGATGAACGGGCAAGAAGAAGAAGGAGAAGTACGTAAAAGGGTTTGGTAAATCAAAAGGAAGAAAAGTAAAAGGGAAGTAAAAGGGTTTTTTTCGATTGAGATTTTCTAGTTTCTATGGGCTTTGAACTAAAAAATATTGAAGCCCAAATTTTTAAATAAGAAAAATTAATTTTTTATATATTATTGAATATCTCGAATGTCTATATCACAAAAAATAGTAATGTCTTTTTTTATATGTTGTAGTTTTTTTTAAATCGATAATTGATAATGGTTGTTTTTTTATAAAATAATTATTTCACTTTTAAAATTTTAAACCATATTAACATTTTTTTATTTAATAAAGATGTTGATTTGGATCAATCAGATTAAATTTACTTTTTCTGTTGGACATAATTTGTTAAATTAACTTTTAATGTTTTAATTTTATTTAAAAATTTTTGGTTTGATTAAAAAGCTGATGTGGACCAATTAAATTAAAATTTTCCGTCCTAATCATACTTAACATTTTTGTGATTAATGAATATACTGATGTGGACCAATCAGATCGAGTTTTTTAATCCCATGCGGATGCACTCAATGCACTATGCCCTCAACTTTTATATATTATATGATTTACATTATAGTTTTTCATCTAATAAAACATCCACTAACTTTGTGTACTTAACAATGAGTTTAGTTTAATAAAACTTCACATCCTACCGTGTTATTTTTATTTCATAATTTTTAGTTATTTTAATTTTTTAATATTTTTGTCCAAATTATAAAAAAATTCTTTTTGTAAAATATGAAAAAATAATAAATTTAGATACAAAAAGAATAAAAGTTTAAATTAGTTTACAGAGTCGTATACACCCATTACAAATAGAAACATTGGTGTAAAGCAAAATTTGTTAGTCTAAGTCTCCAAGTAGTTTCATACAAGCTCTTGTTAGTACAAGTCTCCGAGTATTTTATTCGAGCTCTTGTCGATCCAAGTCTTCAAAACCTCATACAATCTCCTATCAGCTCGAACCCATTAGTGTATTCGTAAAACTTTTGATCATCTCGATCTCCAACTGTTCCATACGAGCTTGGATATCCCAATTCTTTATAAAACTCATACGAGCTCTTCCGAGTCCAATTCTCTAAAAAAACTCAAATGAGGTATTGCTAGTCCAAGTCTTCAAAAATTCATACTCTTTTTGTCAAAATATTCAACAATCTACAATGAACTGTTATCCGCATAGTTCGCTGGTTTGTTCAACATACTAAGACACTTTATATCGAACGCGATCACCCCTTCGTACGAAACTTTGTACAAGCAACACAAAGAGAAAATCTCATATAAACAGACAATAAATCAGCCATCTTAATCACGATCTATGATTAATGACCCTCATACAACATAGCTCGTAACAGAAATCCAGTTTCTCAGATGGACTCCCAACAAGTAGTCAATAACCTGCTTGCACCAGTATAGACTATTCTCAAAGTTCTTCGACTAAGTTATCTTACTCGAAAGAACTGAGGGAACTATACCAAGGATACACCTTGCACAACATTCGCAAGTAAGAACTGAGACTCCGAAAACGTCTTGAAAATGGCTAAAATTCTATAATAGCCAAAAAGCCAATGAGTTAAATAGTGGCAACATACAAAGTCCATCTCATTCTATGTTAACTTAACATTTTGATTGAGTGTAAAACAAGTTCATCCTATTTCTCAAAACAAGTCCTTAAAGAAAAGTTAAACACTACTTTTCACAATCATACTCCAACAACGACTTAATCAGATTGACCTCTTAGAAAGATAAAAAACAGTATGAAAGTAAATCCAAAAAGCTAAAATAACATTGAAGCAAAGGATTAAAGCCCTTATGTGATGCGGTCCTCAAACCAGTAGCTGAAACAGAGCTCCATAAAACATGCCACTTTAGCCACCAAGGGCCCAACCACGGCAAATGTGCCTTTGATTGAGCATATCAAGCCAACCAGAAGAAGTTAAGCAACAAATCAACCTGTTATAGAAGCTTGACTCAACAGGGATTCAGAAAGAACTTGAATCAGCCCAATCATGATTCTGATGAAAATGGTATTCAGCTTACAAAATCAGTGATCTCGAGCTTTATCGAATCGGACATAGGTGCATTGAATGAAAGAATTCAACTGGACCGGGAGGAACTAAGCTACAAACTATATTGTTATGAAATCTCGGTCCAACATAAAAGCTCCTCAAATTAGATTCATATTAATACCATTTCAGACTTAGAAGTTATTGAGCCTACAATTTGGTGGACTTATTTCAGAGTCAACAATGCGACTAGGCCAGATATCAAGCTGCACAACCCAACTCAGCAACTTTCTAGACCCGAGACTACTCGTAGATTATTATAGGGTCTCTTCTGGTTCCAAAAAGTCCAAGGTCCGAAGATATGCCCACCAGATTCTCAAGTTATGCCCCATCTACCAAAACGGGTCAATTTGGTTCTATTCCATGAAAGTTCTATCACATTAGTTCTTCTTAATCAACCAACATCACATTAAAAACACCCACCTCCTAAGCCACTTGTCAAGCTATAAAAAGCTCACTAATATCATTGTAAAGGACAGACCATTTTTGATATTAAAATA